CCTAATTAATTTTAATTAATAAAAAATGTTAATTTTGAAAAAATTAATTAAAGTACCTAAATCATAATTAATTTTAATTAATAATAAAAAGAAAGGTTAATTTTGAAAAAAGTTAATTAAAAAAAAACCTAAAAACCTAATTAATTTTAATTAAAAAAAAGGTTTTAAAACAAAGTTTATGTGTAATGATTAACAAGAAAGAATTAAGTTTGCCAAAAAAATAGATAGGGAAAGAAACATCAATGAAAAATAGGATTAGAAAATATAAATAATACAAATGTCCGGGGTGGATGTTTAACCAAAAATTAATTTAAAACTTAAAATTAAATTTAAAAAAACCTAAAATTAATTATTCGAGTTTATTATGAAAAATCAAAGGTTTGTGAAAAATGTTAGGTTTTATGAAAAAGGTTTCAAACACAAAGAATGAAAATAGGTAAAAGGATAAATAGAACGGAAGAAAACCAAAATCATTAGGGGTGAGTGTTGAACCCACGCCCTTAAACTTCTCAGGATGTCTGTCTCGCCATGCATTGGTGGTTGTTCTGTTTTGGCCTCATCGTTTTGTAATAACCCTGCATGGGACCCTGTCTAAATCTGCAGTGATGAATCTCATGGCATGTATGAATGCTTCTACATCCTTTTGATCATGGAGATCAAACCAGCCTTACCCTTACTGGAGAAGTAGTGAGATGGGGGTTTGTAACAAGAATGACTTGTTTATAGTGTGATGTGAGTTTGTAACAAGGATTTTAAGATTTTTAGGGTTCTTGAAGGAATTTGATATTTTGACAAGGATGTGGCAAAGGTTTTTTTTTCGTGTCCTATTTGGGTAAAAATAATGAGATTATATAATGGAAATTAGAGAAAAAGTATGGACTTTGAATGTGTAATTGGGTCTCCAATAACCACAAGCAATAGTGCCGATTTTTATTTAATTGAGTCTGTCATGTTCCAGGCTAAATCGCAGGGACTTAAGTGAAATTTTTGAAGTTGAAATGTGAAAGAAAAATGTATCTGACATTGAGAACTAACTTCTGTCCTAAAATGGTTTTAATCGGATAAGCGGTGAATTCGTTATGAATTTTTAAAGTTTTGGCCCAAACAAACTTATTTTGGACTCCAGTGTCAACTCTGACACGTTCTTCAACAAAATACTGGTATTTATAGGAGCATAAAATGGTCTCGACTTTGGAAGAAAAGTTGTAGATCTCTGAGTCATTGACCTTTTGTAAAAAGATGGACCCGATCCGAAAAAATTGACCGAGTTATGAATTTTCGAAGTTTCGACCCAGATGAAATAATATTCAGCATTCAAGATTTTTGGCGCGTCATGCGCACTCTGGGAAAAAAACGAAGGCCTTTTGGATACCGTTCGAACTCGACACCTCTTGTGAAAACGTAGTCAACTCAATTGGTGAAATTTTGGCACCGGAACCAGCTCAATACGATGAAAATCGACCAAGTTATGATTTTCTGAACATGACACAAATAAACTTGTCACAAATTTTCTGGACGAAAATACTTGATAAATCCGCATTTTTGAAGACCTTCTGATCGAAATTGGCTTCGAACCGTGAGAGATAAATAGTAGATGGTGTCAAGACGGAATTTTAGCCACCGGAACGGGTTCAAAACGAGCCACGATCTTCAAGTTATAAATTTTTTAGTGCGTAAAAACTGCACTTTCAGCACAGTTTTTCACCATATTTCTTCGAGAAAAATCACATATTCGGAGACCTTCTTTAAAGAATTGACTCTCGAGCCGAACCTGAATTTGAGAATATGTTATCAGAGATATCTTGGCGAAAGAACACCTGAATATGAAGTGCCGGGTTGGACTCGTGAATCTTTGAACCCCGAATCATTGTGAAACGTCGAACCGATCTTCAGCACAGAAAATACTCTGAGAACATCCATTGGTGAAATAAACGTCACTTGTAACCTAACGAAGCTTACTAAATATACCTTGATCCCATAACCATAGAACCAATGATATGCATGTATGTAAGCCAAAAATATCGAAATAAAGAGGGTAAATTTTGGGGTACAACAATTGCCCCTGTTCAATCTTCTTAAACCTGAGGATGTAGATTGGCTGGTCTACCTTTCGTGATCTGAAGGTGGAAGATGATTGAACACTAGAGTGTCTAGAAATTTGTACTCGTCTGAAATTATACTTGATTGTGTAGATAATCAAGAATGGATTTATAGATGCCATTTGGAGAAGATGACGTAAGATCGTCAGAGATGGGCTTAAAGATGCCACCTAGAAAATGTGACGGAGAGTCATCGTAGATGGGCTTAAAGATGCCATCCATAATAATGATGATTTCGTAAGATATTCCTTCGTGAGAATTCCTGTTCCTGTTGTTAGGGAGGACTTCACTGAGGAATGTTAGTCTCTGTCTTGGGGAATAGAGTCTAGGAGCTTCAGTTGTCCTTTATTCTACTAGGGAGTCATCTCTTAATTGAGGAGACGGAAGTAAACTGCTTATCTGGTCAGGATCCAGGCTTCACACTGACCTGTTTAGGATGATAAGGCTGACTTCTATCTAGTCGTATTCCAGGCTTCACAGCGACTTACTGGGGAAATATGAAATCGACCGTATCTGTCAGGGTCTAGGTTTTACAGTGTTGTAACTAATATTCGGAGATAAAAGAGAAGGAACTTGTATAGGGCTTTCTCAGGATAAGTCCATGCAAACTGCGTCAAGTGATTCATGAAAAGGATTCTGGATAGTAGGGCTATGAGAAGGAACCTGGGTAGTAGGGTTACTTCGAAATGAAAGTCTGGATAGTAGGGCTATGAACAGGGACCTGGGTAGTAGGGTTACTTCAACATAAAAGCATGGGTAGTAGGGCTATGAGAAGGAACCTAGGTAGTAGGGTTACTTCGAAATAAAAGCATGTGTAGTAGGGCTATGAGAAGGAACCTGGGTAGTAGGGTTACTTCGAAATAAAAGCCTGGAGAGTAGGGCTATGAGAAGGAAATTGGGTAGTAGGGTTACTTCGAAATGAAAATCCTAGATAGTAGGGCTATGAGAAGGAACCTGGGTAGTAGCGTTACTTCGAAATAAAAGTCTGGATAGTAGGGCTATGAGAAGGAACCTAGATAATAGGACTATGAGAAAGAACCTGGGTAGTAGGGTTACTTCAAAATAAAAGCCTGGATAGTAGGGCTATGAGAAGGAACCTGGATAGTAGGGTTACTTCGAAATAAAAGTGTGGATTGTAGGGCTATGTGAAGGAACCTGGGTACTAGGGTTTACTTCGAAATGAAAGCCTGGATAGTAGGGCTATGAGAAGGAACCTGGGTAGTAGGGTTACTTCGAAATGAAAGCCTACTATCTAGGGGCTATGACCCTACTGGTTTTGCGTTTGTATTCGCAAATGTCGCGGTAAGCAAGAGTCGCCACCGACTTTTCTTTTATACGTCAAAGGAAAGGGTCAAAAGAACAGGAAAAAGACCTTTTTCGAGAGTTTCTGAGTAAGGGGGGTAGATTATGGAAAGGGGAGGTGTTAGTACCCTTTCCATCCGTAGTTATCTACAGACTCTTAGATGCTAGCTCATGTTTTGAAAATTGCTTGTGCTTTGTGTGTTTTGAAAATGCCTTAGTGCGGAGATTCACTTTGTGATAACTCTTGTATCAGTCTTGAAGAGTGTTGACAAGGCAAATTTTTTTGAAAGTGTTTTTTGAAATATTTTTATATAGGTGCAAAAAGTTGTTTTGAGCAAGCATCTAAGAACTTATCTACTTATACTCGAAAAGATCGTTCTTTTCTCTTTATCTTTTAGACAGTGTTATACTACTATTAGTGAGTAGGTAGACCTATCGTTGGATGTATGAGGGACAAGCGCGGGTCATTGTTATGGTCATAGAAGGCAACATATAGGGATACCTAGCAGTTCGAAGGGACTGTCATCATATAGGCAATATCGAGGGACAAGATCATTTCTCGTAGGCAACTCAAGGGACGTTAAGGGACTATGATCTATATGATGACTTTTATATTTAGGGTCTTTTGCTAAGATATCCCTACGTTCGATGGACATGACCATTGTTTTCCGAGACAACCAAGTGAGGAATACCCTAAGGGTGCAAGTGTGCATATTTTTATGTAGGTGCAAAAAGTTGTTTTGAGCAAGCATCTAAGAACTTATCTACTTATACTCGAAAAGGTCGTTCTTTTCTCCCTGTCCTTTAGACAGTGTTATCCTACTATTAGTGAGTAAGTAACCTTATTGTTGGATGTATGAGGGACAAGCGTGAGTCATCGTTTATCGGGATCATCCAAAACAGCCAAACAACACTAATGTGAAGGGGATCATCCAAAACTTACAGCAACTACTGAAAATCCATATCATTATTTCAAAGGTTAAATCTTAAATTAACCAGATTAACCATCAACTGATCAAATCTCATAAAAAGAAAAATAAAAAAATTCATCATCAATCTTTGAATTATTGACGATGAATGCTAGTACTAATTTTTATAAATAAAAAAACTAAGAGCAAGTAAACTAGGATTCCAAATTGATATCTCCGAATTTTCACATAAACTATTATTATGATATTGGACAGATTAAGAGATATGTTACTTTAATCTGAATTCTTATCTTAATCATTAAGATTGACTTTTTTTATTACCAAACCACACAGACTAAATCAATCATAGACAAATTCCACTATTCAATTACTTACACAAACGAACTTTGTTTAATTAATTACTTTATATGAAGTTGATTAACGCCTTGATCAAAGTTTTTTTTAATAATCTTTTTTCCCTGATGAATTATTCTTTCATGGAAATTGTCAACTTTTAGGCTTAGTCCACTTTTCACAAATTTATTTCTTTATCGACTATCACATTTCTTATGTCACTATAAATATAGACATCAATGTGCATGCATTACAAGTTACAACACAATTAAACCTTCATAAACCCAACTATTTCCTCAAAAGTCACTTATCAATAATCATTAATTGATTAGTAAAAATGTCCTCCAAAATATATTTCTCAACGTTCATCCACACATTAATATTTGCAACTCTTGCAACCGCAACATTTTCACTAACACCAAATTATTATGACTATACTTGTCCCAACGCTTTGAGTACCATTAAAAGTGTTGTGAAAGGCGCAGTTCAAAAAGAATACCGTATGGGTGCTTCTTTACTACGCTTGCACTTTCATGATTGCTTTGTTAATGTAAGAAGATCTATCACTATTTCTATATATGCATGCATGTTTATATATGTTTATATATATATATATATATGTACACCTTACATGACAAACTTTTGGTTTTTCTTTTTTGAATTAGGGTTGCGACGGTTCGATTCTTCTAGACTCTACACCTTCCATGGATAGTGAAAAAAATGCAAATCCAAATATCAATTCAGCTAGAGGATTTGAAGTAATAGATGAGATCAAACAAGCTGTTGATGAAGCATGTGGAAAACCAGTTGTTTCTTGTGCAGATATATTGACTATAGCCGCTAGAGACTCCGTCGTCGCGGTTCGTAATAATAATATTAACACTTCTTCTTCATTCCTTCTAAATATCAAATTTTTAGACATTTTTCATTCATTTTTATTTGTTGTCATTTGATCAAAATAATATTAACAATTATACACTCATATTTTTTTAATGGTGTGACAAGTTAGCACGAAATAGCTACAATTAATAATTAATAATTATGTCAAATATAATATGGCATAAGTTTGAACTAGCTAGAAAATTTGAATAGATCAAATATTAGTATTAAATTTAAGAATTTTATGGATGCAGTTAGGAGGACCATCATGGAAAGTGAAACTAGGAAGAAGAGACTCAAAGACAGCGAGTCGAGCCGATGCGGATGCGGACATCCCCGGACCATCTTTCAGTCATGCTCAACTCCTAAGAAACTTCGAAAACCATGGCCTAAATGAGAAAGACCTTGTTGCTCTTTCTGGAGCACACACTATTGGATTTTCGCGTTGTCTTTTATTTAGGGATCGAATCTACAACGACAACAACATTGATTCTAACTTTGCGAAAGAGCTTCAAAATATATGCCCGAGAAACGGAGGAGACTCTAACCTCGCGCCTTTGGACAGTGTTACACGGGCGAAATTTGATGTGCTTTATTTTGCGGATTTGATTGAAAGGAAAGGTGTTCTTCATTCTGATCAGGTATTGTTGAATGGTGGTTTCTCTGGTGCCTTGGTGAGAAAGTATAGTTATGATACTAGGGCTTTCTATAAGGATTTTGCGAAATCTATGATTAAGATGGGAGATATTAAGCCACTTGTTGGTAATGAAGGTGAAGTTCGTTACAACTGCAGGAAAGCAAATTAAGTTATTAAGACATAGTGAAGCACATTAAATTTATTAATTGTCTATAGGTTTAAGGAAAAAACACTTGAATGTCGTTGTGCACAAGTGTGACATATTTATGATATAATAAAACAATGTAATGTTCTTTATTACTTGGGATTCTTTTTATTTCTGTTTAATGTTGTAATGATTCATGGATTGATTTACATTAAATTGATAAGGTTATTTATTCTCTTCTTGACTTCTCTAAAAATAATCATATATGTGGTTGCATACTAAATAATGTAAGAATGACATAGTAAAATGGTTAGAAAAGAAGAAAAAAAATCATTTATGGGCAAAGTTCTTTAAAACTGAAGTATAATAAATTATTCTGCTTACTTAATCAAGTATATAGTAAAATGTGTCATCGGTTGAAAATCCATCAAAGTCTAGGGAGAATTTTTATCAATCTTAATGAATAAGATTGTTATCACTATACAATGACAATGAAAAGAAAAGAAAATTAAAGAAGATAAGAGATTAGGATTTCTGCAGAGTAACTCTCTGCCCACAAATTATAGAAAATATTTATTCACTTTCCAACTGCAAAATTCTATAAATATGAGTTCCTAGTTCATTCTATTCAAAAACAGGGATTACTCCCTCTATTTATAATGAGTTTGCTTTCTCCTTAAGTCAAAATGTGCAAAACTATAAAAGCCCAAAATACCTATTTTAGACTTAAAATCGAAATCTGTGTGTATCAATCTGCTTACAACACTTCGACAACTAATAATTTGACATACTATACTTTTCTACACACGTTGTGTCGAGCAACAACCTGTTTCGACACGAGAAATTACATTTTCAACACACCACCTAATTCATTGTGTCTAAGCTATCTATATTCATCATAGCTTGTAGTCTTCTGAACACTTTGACCTGCACACCCTTCGTCATGATGTATGCAATCTGATTCGCAGTTCGACAGTGTTCCAAGTTCATCTTCCCACCTGCTACCTGCTCTCGAAGATAGTGGAACCTCATTTCGATGTTCTTGCTTTGACCATGTGCTATCGGATTCTTTGTCAGGTTGATAGTTGACATGTTATAGATCTTCATGGTAATTGCTCCATGATCCTACCCTGTTATCTCTTCGACCAAATTCACCATCCATTTTTCTTGACATGCACAAAGAGAAGCAACTATGTACTCTGCTTCACACGATGATCATGTCACTACTGGCTCCTTTCTCGAATTGCAAGCAACTGGTGCACCACCTACCATAAACACATATGCTGCTGTATATTTTCGATCCTCAGCATCACTACACCAACTTGAGTCGGAGTATCCCACTAATTTGCATTCTTTACCTTTATCATTTGCAGGAAAAATAATGCCATAAACGAGATTTCCTTTTAAATACCTTAGTATCCTCTTTGTCGCTGCTAGATGTGAGACATTTGGCTTCTGCATGAATCTACTCATCATACCTACACGGTATGTTAAGTCAGGCCTTGTGTGACAAGGATATCTTAGTGACCCAATAAGTCTTTTGTATTGGGTTAGGTCGACATCATTTGAGTCTTTCGACAGTTGCAACCTTAGTTCTGCAGGTGTCAAAGTCGAGTTGCACTCTTCCATCTCAAATCTCTTGAGAATTTCTCCTGCATATATTTTTTGATGCATCATCAAACCTCTACTACTCTTATTGAATTTGATGCCAAGAAAATATGAAATGTCACCCAGATCTGACATTTCAAATTCCTTTTTGAGACCACCTTTGAAATCTTTGATATCTTTCTTGCAGTTACCTATTATTAAAAAGTCGTCGACATAGAGACATAGTATAAGCAATTCACTCTTTCTTCTTCTTACATATACTCCATGCTTAGTTGTGCACCTCACAAATTCCTTCTCCCTTAGAAAAATATCAATTTTTTAATTCCAAGCTCTTGGAGCTTGTTTCAATCCAAAAGGGCTTTATGTAGCTTGTATATCTTTCTCCCATCTCCATGCTTCACAAATCCAACTGGTTGTGCAAGATAAACTTCTTCGTTTAAGGGTCCATTCAAGAATATACATTTCAGGTCCATCTTACATAATTGTCGAGTGTTCATTTCTGCTAGACCAATAACCAACCTGATAGTTTCGATTTTATCAACAGGTGCAAAAACCTCATCGAAGTTGATTCCTTCCTTTTGAAGAAATCCTTTCGCCACAAGTCTTGGCCTTGTGTCAATTACTTTCCCTTTGGGATTCAACTTCACCTTATATACCCAAATGATATCAATTTCCTTCTTGCCTTTAGCCAATTCAACTAGTGACCAGGTCTTGTTGACTTCGACAGACTTCACTTCTTCATTCATTGCTTTCACCCACTTTGAATCTTTTAATGCTTCAGTTGCATTGACTGGGTCAACATCAACATAGAAAGCATAATATACCAGCTCACCTTCATCATCAACAACATCATCTGATGTAATCACAAAATCTGGAAAACTTTCAGGCATGTGTCTTGTTCTCTGAGATATTCTTTTACTTGGTTGATCTCTCACTTCCTCTTGTCGAACTTCTCTTCCGACTTGAGTTTCTGGTTCTTCAAGTAAGATTCTCACTTAATCTTTCTTGACATTTTTAGTTTAATCTCATTCTTTATAATCATTTATGATCATATCCATGTTGATCACAATCTGCTTGTTCACTAGGTCGAACAATTTGTAACCTCAAGTCGAATGATATCATACTAGGATCATTTGACTCGACTTGTCATCAAGTTTTCTTGTTAATTGATCTTGTACATGTCTTTGTGTCATAGATCCAAACACTACCAGATGACTTAATCTAGGTTTAACACATGACCAACTTTCTTTTAGAATAATTCCTTCTAGCTTCTTCGTCAGACATATGTTAAAAATGTATGTTACAGTCGAACAACTTCACCCTAAAACTCTTTAGGTAAATGCTTGCCATTTAACATACTTCTCATTGTAACACCCAAATTTTTATTAAATTGTTTTAATAATTAATTATGTGATTTGGTTCATTGGCACACCTTGGTGAATATGTTGTTGTGTGGTTATGCCTTTGATGGGAGATAGAGATACCTTAGAAATTATAAAAGTTAAGGTATTAAGGGGGTTGTTGTACCCCAAAATTTTCCCTCTCATTTCTCAAGATATTTCCTACAAAGATCTTCAATGACTCAAGTTTGCACAAGCATCGACTAGATCGAATAATCTCCTCAACATTGATGCCTCAAATTAAGGTTTGAGTTTGTACAAAGGAAGTTAGATTTATAATGTTTCAAATGGCTTTCATGGATCATTATGTGAAGATGTGAAAAACACAAGAAGGGGGGTTGAATTTTAAAACTTAAAACAAATGGTTTGACAACACGGTATTTTTATCCTGGTTCGTTTGATCTCAAACTACTCCAGTCCACCCGTCAAGGTGATTTCGCCTCTCTCCAACGAGGTCTTAATCCACTATTTTCAAAGGATTACAACATCTACTTTAACACCTGTTAAAGTCTTCTTGAGTAAAACCACAGACCGATTTATCTCAAGGAAATCTCTTACAAAATAATTGAACAAGAATGTGTTTAACGTTTTCTAATAAAACAATATATCACAACTGTGATAATTACACAATTTAAGCTTGGAATAATCTGAATTTGCTAAAGCGTTTGAGTAAGCGTGGTTTTGAAGGCTTGGCAAATTATGTGAGTGCATGCATGCGTCTTTTCTCACACAGACTTGTTTAAATAGGCAAGGCAGAGATACGTTGTCCATAAAGCCATTTTAATGATAATAACGCACTTTCCTTTTTGAGAAGATCTTGTCTGAGGATAGCCGTTAGCATTTAATTCTGTCTTGAATACTTAATAACGCTTCAGAGTCTTCTTTGCTTTAACTTATGATAACGCTTCAGAGTGCTGATGACTTGGAAAAGATCTTTGATCAGAGTCAGAGTGTATTTGTTTATGTGCAGATTCTGGTCATCAAGCTTCAGCGTATGATCTGGTAGCTTCAACGTGTAGCACATGTTACTGATCTTCTGATGCTGATTCCATCAGATCTTCTGTATATACAAAACATAATTTTAAGAAGCATATTTGTCTTATATATAAATATTACAATTTATTTATTCTTTGTATTTTGTTATCATCAAAACTCTAATTAAGGGTTGTTGAATCAAACTATGTTCTAACAATCTCCCCCTTTTTGATGATGACAAAAACCAGATTTTTCAATTAAAAATAAAGAATAAAAAGTATAGAATTAAGAAGAGAAAACTCCCCCTGAGTTGATTACTTCCCTTTAATTTCATGAGTCTTTGAGCATCAGAACTTTACTGTATCTTTCATCAGAGTTTTGTACCTGTAAGCTTTTCAGAAGAGAGAAATTTAAATGGATCAGAATGTCTGAGACTTATGTCTCAGTAATCCGTTATTGAAAAATATCATTCTTTCTCCCCCTTTTTGTCAGTTATCAAAAAGAACAAATAATCAGAGTCAAAATGCGTTTATATTGAGACCAGAAGCAATGATAAGTTCAGAACAATGTGAGAATATTACAGATAAATATGTTATAAAAACGAGGAAATTCTAAGAGGGAGGAGGAAGACATGTGAGCAAAGCTTCCAACATGCTCTTGATCTGGGTGTTGGTTTCCTGTAGCTGGGTTAACATGCTCGTGATTGCATCAATTTTGTCGTCTTGTTTATCCATTCTTTCCTTCATCAAAATATCAGATCTTTTCAGGTCTTCTAGAGTCTGCCTATCAAAGGAGAAAGCTTGAGAATCTTCAGTAACAGGATGTTTCTCAGATATTTCTGCAATATCCTCTTTTTGACCCAGTACTTCAGCAGGAATCATCTGCTATAGAGTATCAGTCAAATTGAGATCTTCTGACTCTGGTTGAACTTTGGATGCTGGATGATGTTCAGACCAGGGAGCTATGTCCAGAGGGAGAACTTCTTCCTTAGGCAGCTTGCTTAGAACTGGATCTTCAATTTCTTTCAGTAGATTACTGAAG